ACATTTTTAAATGATTTTCTGAAAGAATGAGAGAGAGGAGTTGAATTGAACTGACAACATTTTGATGTCAAATGCATCCATGTGTGCCCATTTTAAGATTAAGAGCAAAAGCTGCTCACGTATTAGTTCTAGTTGGTCTTAGGCAAGCGCACTAAAGGTCAAATGTATGAAACCAAGCAAAAACGCAAACCGTGGCCCAAAGTCTCTCGTCATTTCAGACCCAGCCCCTCTCTCCTGCCCTTCTGAGTGTGAGATCATGAATATAATTCAAACTTACATCTCTTCAATCGTTATATCTGGTTTCCACAATACTTCAGTAGGAAGAGAAAATTGCTTAATACCACAGAATTCATCTGGATTCCAAGAAAGTAACTCATTCTGCCACCACTTCAGAGGAAAACAAGGAGAAAAATGCATTTAAACAACAGAAATTCCAGTTTTCCAACAGAATAAGAGGTTGGAATTCATATAATCTAAGGTGACTTCTTCAGGAATAACTCACCATATCAAGCCAAATGTAAGGAACGAATTGCTGGTCCTTTTCTCTCTAAGCGCAAAGAAATATGCATGGAAATCTTTCCAAATTCAGAGTTCATATTACAGTTTAAACAAGTTCTTGAACTGTGTTTGGATCTGACACCAATCAGCATGATTACAGTGAATCGGGCTAAATGATCCATGATCTTCTGTCTGGGAATATTCGGGTTTAGTACAAATATAAACTGTACATATACTACATCTTACACAAAAGACATCAAACAAGTACAGATGCAATAAAGTACAAGTAGTAGTAGTATTAAGCTGAGGAAAGTGAAATGAACGAACAGTGCTGTCACACAATACCAGCAACAGCATAGTATGTCACAGGTTTGATGTTGAAGTAGGTGTGTGTCAAATAGACAATAAGGGTACCAATATAACTTCACAAGTAATGATCATAAGAAACCACTTACCACACCCAGAATGGCATAGAGTAGTACATCCAGAGATACCTCCACGGGTTGTTTGTAGTTTTTAACAGGCCGGATCATTGAGAACAGCTCTTTGTTTCTGGTGAAGTTCAAGTGGTCTAAAACATCCTGATAACTGCAGTTACGCTCAGAGGACTCCACATCTACAGCGAAAACAACAAGACACATTATCTATGAGAGAGAGTTTACTCTTAGAAGAAAATAAATCCGGAAATGTGATGCTGATTACCAGGCTCTGAATTTTACTTTTAAATTAAAAATGAGCACCTGTGTTTGAGTTATGTTCTCTCAGTTACTTGTATCTTATAATATGGATGTATCCACTGTTTTATCATATGTATTTGATTATTTTAAACTTTTAGACATACTAATTAGTAAATGATAGCATGCTAACAGGCTAAACTAAGATGTAAACATGGTCAATGTTAAGCCTGCTTAGCATCAATATGTTAGCATTGCCACTGTGAGCATGTTAGCATGATGAAAGTATATCTGCAGTAATATGAGGTGACTGTGGTCACGCACACAAAAGTCATCATGAGATGGGCATTAGGAGACATATGGACGAGCTCTACTTGACCATTAGCATTGAAAGAGTCTAAAAAGGCTCTTCGTTTAAAATCCATCTACCACCAAATGTACGACCAGAAGCACTCAGAGCTGTGTCTGAAAATAAAAACATACAGGAAGTATCTCTGGTTTTAGTCTTTCTGTCAATTTTGTCAGCACAAGCACAAGGAGGCACTGGTGTCTTTGTTTATTATAACTGGAATGGACATGCTCAGAGTTAACTGCTTCACAAACATTTCAAATGAAATAAAAAATAATAATAATACAAAACTATAATAACAGGGAGGTCTGTGCACTATCCAGAGCAACAGGGACACTGTGAGGAAGAGAGAAAACCTTACCAGTGAGGAGGAGCAGAAAGAGGAAGCCAGCAAGCATCATGAGTGCAGGAGAGAATACAAAGTCTGTGAGAGGTCTGTGCAGCAGATGTGCATCAATGTCAACTCTGTGCTGTCTTGAAATATCACCACACTTTATCCTCACACTGAAAGAGGGCGGACAAATTGAATGACCCACCCATTGGTTTATTGTTGTTTTTTATCTCAGAAATAATTCATAACCAGATGTGTTTGTACTCCAGGGCGCACTTCTGCAGTTGCAGTGGAGTATGTTGAAAAATGAAGGGGTTGCTCAGGTAATTTGGCAAAATAAATGATATTTTATTAAACAGAAAGAATAAAAGGGGATTTTCTGGTGACTTAGTGGTTTAGGCTCATAAGCAAATCATGTACTGTTACTGGAAAGTCTTCATACGCACAAGCAATTTATAGGAAATGAGATACATGCATGTAATCCAATGTGAATTTACCTCATTGATTAAAGCTTTACTGCCAAATGTTACAGTGCAACAAGACAATAGTTTATATTTATGGATTTAGCCTTCTTATAGCTTTAATATATAAATATATAAACACACCTTGATGTCCTTTTCCTGTGTGAACTGTGAGGAGGGTTCAAACCCACAATTTCTTTCTATAAGTTTCAAGTTCAAATTTAAAATGCTCAAACACACAGACAAAAAACAAACAAACAGAGAATTTGTTTTAGTTTTTATTGTTTATTTCCACATGTACGCCAGAGTCTCAGATCTCATTAGAGCATATATCAGGACTGTTGATTGATTATGAATCCATAAAGCAGAGTGATGCAAAGATGTGAAAGAACAGCACATAAATATATTAATAAGAAAAACACATTTTATATCTTCATAATATTATAGATGTGTTTCAGCATTACAGTGAGTTTACTTTTCACAGAAAGCGGCCCCATACTCAATCTTTAATACACTTGTAGAATGACGTCTGTGGCTTTTTATCAAAGTTACATAAGATATATTATATATAGAAAAGATTCATGCAGGAACCAAACAAAACTATCAGAACATGTAAGATAAGAATTTGTTTGTACTTTAATTAATAATTTATTTTTTATTTTATTTTATTTTGTTTTAAGGTGGATTATAAGGTTTGCCCTTATTACATAGTAAAGATATTTTTATGTAGAAAAACACCTGCATGCTTAATTGTTTGTATTGGTGGATTTCTTATACATACAGACTATGCTTGTTGTATAGCAGAGACATAAGTCGACCACGTCATGGCACATTAGTGTACTAGAATAATAAATGTGTGTACCACTATGTGAAACATGCAAATGTCAGATATTTGTAGTTAAAATACCACTGAAGGATTAAATGCTACAGCCTAGTACACCATTACTCGTCAGCTTTACTGAAGTAGCAGCAGAAGATGTGAAACAGAAACTGATTGTACAGATTATGTATTAAGGACAGGGGGGAGTAAGTGTAAGGTTTGTGGTTAGTGACACAATCACAATAGCTTTGCTTCTGTACAAATTGAACTAACTTGTTGTAAGTCATCAGAATACATAAAGTGCTGATGATTCAGGATAGGTTAACAACAATGAACTCATTACCTGCAGCGTGGTGTGACTTTGTGTTTACAACTTCTGGGAACTCTATTGTTATTCATTATCTCTACTATTATTCTTCTTCAGCATTCCAACTGAAAAACATCAGGACTAAAAACAGAGTGGCAGCTATGACATAGAAAATTAAGAAGACTTTGTTGATAGTTTTAGTCTTTTTGGTCCAGTAGCTGGGTTTCTCTTCTTCCTTACTGCTGTTGAGGAGCAGAGTCAGTGTTTTCACCAGCTCCCTCAGCTCACCTGAGAGCTTTTCAAAGTCACGGGACTCCTCCATCTGTTGGTTGTTGCTACCCTGAAAAAGTAGTTTAATACAATGTGGTTACAAAATGTGATAGTCAGTTGTTATTTGTGTGCCTTAAAATACACAAATTGCAAAATGGGTGAAAAATGTTCATTGTTCCAAGAGGAAACTGAATGATTTAATACTGAAACTGGGAGTGAAAGACAGCTCACACTGTTACTGCGTGTCTGCTGCTGTTTAATGAATTGTGTGAATGTTTGTGTTTTATTTCATATTAATCGATGCAGCTGAGATTTATACTGCTTAAATGGACAAAGAGATTTCCTCTATGCTTTCAATCTATGGATTAGGAATCTTATGCATCATCTCACCCGAGAAAAAATGTGTTATACTACAAGAGGCTGCACCCTCAACCTTTAAGATAAAATAAGATAATAAGATGTTCCTTTATTGATCTACTGTAGGAGAAATTACAGCAGTAGAGGGGAAATGTGGTGCAAAAAGTACAGAAGTGTAAAAATACAATAAAGAATAATATATAAAAAAATATAAAGACTATAATGAAAATATATACACTATATGCAGTGTGCAGTAAGAAATATGGTATGCATTAATATTTTAAACTGTACATGTGCAGTTATTATAGTTTGTACATAAACAAAAAAAAAAAAAGTTAAGCCACACCAGTTCTGGATCAGATATATCCAGATATATATTTAAAACATATAGAGCCTCTCGTTCTCGATTTCTTTCTTCTAAACCTGTCCACGTCATAAAATATAGTTGTTGGCCGTAATGACAGTGAATGGAGTTTTGTTTCTTGTGGTCAAAAACAAACAAACAAACAAACAAAAAAAAACATTAGATTAAAATTAAGTATAACATTTCTACATGTTGAAAAGTGCAGGTCAGTTTTAACCTTTTCGGCCACCCGCAGCTCTTCAGATGGAATTTCACCATTAGACATGTCACAGATATATCCACAGGGAATCAATTTATTAATGTCTGAAAAGACACAAAACACGGTTAGTGCATATTCAAAGTAACCATTTTGTAGTAAAGCTTTTACATGTGTCTCTTTCAGTGAATCTATAAAGTAATATCTGGTGTAACATCTATGCTGCTTCGCAAATTGGGTGTCTATTTGTTGTAGTGCATCTCACCTTTTAAAATGTTCTGAAAGCTGTCTCGTTTGTCCCCACAGTCCTCACTCAGGCTTTGGTCTTTATCTGCCTCGTTGTTTTGGGATGCAGAGTCTCTCCCCCTCAGATTCATCACCACGATCGTCTCCAGGAGGCTCAGCATCATCAAACCAAAAGTCCCAATGCAGTAGACCGCTGAAGGGAGACGGCAGCATTATTAATGTGGACAAATAACACATGAATTCAGTATATTTGTTGTTACCTGAGCCTTATTACCTATATAGTGGACTCCTGTTTGATTGAGGTTGGAAGATTTCATTCAGAATAAGCCCCTGCAGTACGGTGATGGCATGCAGCACAGTGACTTTTGAAGCTGAGGCTTTCCTCGCCCCCGCTGTCTAGATCAGGAAGGAGGATACAGTCCAGACACAGAAGAACAGGACGCGGCAGTCATGAAGTTGATAATGGTAAGAGGGCAGACCTCCTCTTCACGGTGGATTCTGTGAAATTTAAGGTCAGTGGTCTGAACCTTTAACATTTTGACAAAGGCTTAACTAAAGCAACTACAGGGTGTTACAGAAAATGTATTTCACATCTGAACCTAAACTGCTCATATCCTACACATGGTGCACAGAGCACTTCAAATTGCTTAACTTTGGTAAAAGTAGTTAATGAAAAAGAAGGAAGGGTATAAAGTCTATGTCAGATTAAATTTGCGAAAAATAATGAGTATAAGTACATATATCACCAATATAGTTTACAGATAGAAAGAAAAATGTGTGCTTTTCTTGACCTGATTATTGCTCTGCCTCCTGTGGTCAATTTTTCGCTCCACCATTTGCACACACACAATTTACCAGCAACATATTAAAATGCGGCTTAAACATGGGCCTAATATGGTCTGTCCACAGGTTCCATAACGGCTCTCACTGGGTGTTAGGTAGAAGTGGGCACTCCGGACAAAACCCAAATGGGAGGCCCATTTCGGTTTCCACTCCGAGCCCATGCTCTCCATTTCCATTCACGTGACCCAACTAAGGACCGCACATAGAGCCCCATTGGGTTTCCCAAGTGCCCCAGATAAGATGTCCATTTACAACTCAGTCTCATATAAAAACGTATTAGTCTACCTTATTGTCAATCTAACCTTTGTCTCCTTTGAAATGTGGGAGGTTGTTTTGTGTAGCGTATTTGCTGTTGGCAGATATAAATGATTGAATGACTGTGTTAGGTCATCCCTGGCATAAAGCCTCCAAAATCATAGAAGATACACAAAAAATAGATACCAAAAAATCCTCAAACAATCCTCAATTGCTTGGGCGGGGAGCACATGTAGGATATGGTGTAAAAATAAAAAATCCCCCATTGACAAGACAACATACTTTAAAGTTCTGATGTCAATATGTGTTTGACATCCCCCTCCAAACCCATCTCTCTCCAACAAC